TGCGCCACCGCCCCGGCAGCCGGCGTGTCGCCATGGAAACATCGCGCGGGGCCTCCTGGGACAGGACGGGGTCCGTCAGGAGTGGTGTTTCTCCCGGCTGAAGGTGGAGTCAGATTCTAGGGTAGACGTCTTTTAACTCTGACCGGAGAGCCTGCCTTTGTCCCGGGCCACGCCGGGAACGGACGAGCTGGTCGTTCCGTCTCGCCCTTAGGCGTCCTCGGACTCGCCTCTCCCGGTGTTTTGAACCTTGAGTCCAACGCTCCCTCCCAGCTTCGGCCAGCTGTGCGCTGCTTAAGTTGGGCAGGCAGTGTAGACGCCTGGTGGCTGTCTCTGAAAGGGATAGGTTTGTTTGGTAAGACGAAATCTGACCACCAAACAATGCATGTTTAATGTTGAGAGTTTAGAATGTGCAGAAGAACCAAGAAAAGGTAAACATCAGATGAATTGTAGGTGATTGAATTTAATTAATTAATGCCAGAGCAGGGCGTGTGAGAGGGAGAATAGTCAGTGGGTCTGGTCACTTTGTAATCTCTTCCCCTGGAATTGGCCTTCCTCAGGACCCTGGGCTCATGGCAGGGAGTTGGGCCCTGGTTTGCCATGTGGGATTGGCGTCCTCTGAGCAGCACTTGCTGTCCTGTGGTGCCAGCCCTAGTTGTATTTTCTCGACAGGGTTGCACTGTTAGAATTCTCCTGCCTCTGTTTCCTAGCGCTCTCTCTCCCTCTCTCTCTTTCTTTTCAATTTGCTTGAGGACCTGAGACCTTCCTGGAAGAAGATGGGGAGCGAGAGGGAGGGAAAGTGAAAAGGCATCCCCGTGGGACATGTTCACACTGCACTCACTTCTCCATTCGCTTTCCTTTCTGGATTTTGGGAACACACACATATACACCTGGCCTGTTTCTCAAGCCACCAGGTCTACACTACACTACACTACAGCTACGCTATTAGCCATGTGAGATACCGTTCATGTCACAGAGATAAGCAAAATAGCTAGTGAGAGGGATAGCAGGGAAAAAGGCCTGTCATTGGGTAAAGCCTGGCTTAACTCAATCGTAAGAAAGTCGGCTGACACTCACTTATGTAGGGCCTGGCTTGACTCATTCTGTTAGTGCCCCCAAACAATTTTTGAAGATCACTTCTTTCAGGGAGGAAAGTGAGACATGAAAATTAGGAGAGGGCTCTCAGGATGGAGGTGGGGAGGGGCATAAATGGGAACAGCCAGAGGGCAAACAGGCCTCAAAACCAGAAAACCAGTTTTTACAACAGTCTACCCTTTCATAGGACAGAAAGGGACAGGAAAAAGGAATAAACAGGAGTGAAGTGAACTGATTTGCTCTGACTACAGCCCCTAAAAATATATATGTAAAGTCGTAGATATGCGCAGTTGAGCAACTGAGCACCTGAAGAGCCCCTGATTCTACCCCCGTATGTCCTATAAAAGTGGCCCCACGCTAGACAAAGGGGCTCTTGAATTGCCTTGCTTGACCCTTCCTAACTCTCTGGAGTGTGCTATGGCTAAGTACGTGTGCCTGCTCTTTTGCTCTACTTTCCCCCTTTCTCTCTGATTCTTTCCCTCTCACTTTCTTTTCTGTCTGTTTTGCTCTGGTGAGCACATGTGCCCTATAGCAAGTTAAATAATAATAAATAAAATTAAATAATTCTTTTTAAAAACCTGGATTCTTCTGAGCTCATGCCCTCTCTCTCAATGCGTAGGGCTTAGCCACTGTACCATGGGCCAGTTCTATAGGACCTTTTGATGTCTGAGAACTTTGTGTTATATGGTGCGAATATTTCACCAGTTTGTCAGTTACCTTTTTTGTTCATGACATATTTGGTATTTGTGTAGAGTTATATTTATCACATTTTCTGCATTCAGAATACATATTCTTTTTCAAATGGATTTTGTTTAATTCTACTTTAGTAGAGGTGGGTTGAGACAAAACTTTTTTTCCACATCACTATTCTTTTCTCCATTAGCTGTTCAAAGGCCTACCCTCTATTTTTGTAGACCACACATTTCTAGAAACTTAGGCGATGAATTACATAAGGTGGGTGGTGGTGGACTCGGCAGCATCTCTAGGCTGACATACATTAGACAAATGTCACCCTACACTTGACATTCGTGGAAAAGTCTTGCCAACTCTTCTCCCTTTCTTGCCAACTTTTCTCAATCTATAAAGGCATGACCAAGTCACTCTGCAAATCTGCATTTGACTCTTTCTGTCTCAAAATTAAAAGTCTTTGCTTCTGCTTTTAAAGGTGATGTTCTTTTCTATCTCTGTATATATGAGAGAGAAAGAGGCTAAACTGTTTTAATTAGTATAGTGGTTTACCACAAACTGGGTGGCTTAAAACAGTAAAAAATGTGTACCCTCACAGTTTTGGAGGCCAGAATTATGAAATCAAGGTGTCGGCAAGTCTATGTCCCTCAGAAGCCTTTAAGTGAGAATTCTTCCTTGACTCTTCTGGTGGCTCCTGGTGTTCTTGGCTTGTGGCAGCATCAGTCCAATTTCTACCTCCATCTTTGCGTGGTGCTCTTCTCTCCGTTTCTCTGTGTCTTCTCTCCTTGTAAAGACACAAGTTATTGCACTTCCCTTCACCCTTAATCCAGGATGATTTCATTGCAAGATCCCCAACTAATTAACATTTTCTAACACCCATTTCCAAAAAAAGGCCACATATTGAGGTACTGAGTGAATCTGACTTTTGGGGAAACATTATTTTGCTACATTTTAATGGTAATCACTTCCATTCTACATAATAAATATGTCTCTATTATTTCAGATTACTCATAAAGTTATGTAAATCAACACAACATCTGGTATTTATCATAAGATCATCTGAGGATCTCTGTGAAATTTGTAATCAGTACTTCATACTTCTATGGTCAATATTAGTTCAAAACAAAAAGTATTATTTGACTACAGATATTAAATATTGGGTTGTTGGGACAGTCATGATACATTTTTGCACGGAAGAACAGAAAAATATGTGATTACTTTCTTGAAGACCTAATAATTGGCTACCTGCATCTTCACTAATTACACAGTTTTTTCTGAAGTGGATTTTTGTAAATCAGATATTCAATGAGCTTTATTTTAAGAGCCATTTGGAATGTTTGGTATGCATATTAATTATCTTGAAGCTCATTGGTGCCACTGTAATAAATTTAAATGATTTTTTTCAGCTACAGATTTCAAATGTCTAATTTGTACATTTTCACGGTCTTTTAAAAATTTGTTTGTTTGTTTATTCCACTCTGTCTTGTTTTTCTTTTTCTTTTTTTAAAAAATAATTATTCTTATTATTTTAACTTTATTTATTTATTTTAATTTGACTAGAGAGGAACAGAGTAGGGGAGGGGAGTAAGAAAGGAAGCCACCAGGTCAGGACTTGAACCGTGGTCGGCCATATGGGAATCCAGCGCCCTTAACCACCATGCCACCTGCTAGCTCCTCCACTCTGTCTTCTTAAAAGAAATAGAAACACCTTTGAATAAAAGTAGAAACCACTGAGAGACTATAGATATACCTCTGAATCTCAGTTGATATTTTAACATAATCGATGATAAAAATATAGTTCTGAGCATCATAGAAGAAAGGGAAACACGTTTCTGATAAAGGGAGACATACTGGCAAACAATGTAAACATTCTTCAAACTCAGTGGTTCTTTAAGTGTGCCTGGACAGCAGCATCAGCGTCATCTGGTAACTCTTAGAAATGCAGACTCTCAGAACCCTCTCACCCCCAGTGGCTGGGAGAAGAAATGCTTCCCACCCTGCAGCATAAGAAAGAGAAAAATGTCAGACCATGATGAGGGAGGAAGGATGACTTACCCATGTTCCTCCCAGAGGGTGGTTTTGCTCCATTTCTTTTTTTTTTTTTTGGCTGCCAGAGAAAGTGCTTTTACTGTTGTCCCAACACAGAGATAGTGGCTCCATGTCCAGGACACTATAATGTTTCAGAAGCATAGTATAATATAAAAGGAGGCAATAGTCTGCAAAACTGGGGAAAATGTTTCAGATAATCCAGGACCAGTGAGCCTATGATCTAGATTATCCTAGACCATTGGATATCATGAACAGAAAAGCACTAGAATCCAAAGAGTGACTTCAAACAAAAATTTTAAGAGCACCTACAATTACCAAACATTTTGATGTTCTTTCAGTTCCTTCTTATGGACAGTTATATGGCTATCATTCTAATGAAGATGGCAGTGTTATAAAGTGTTTTTCACCTGCTAGTGACATACTGGGTCCGGATTCTCCAATGCAACTTTGAAATACAAAGGTATATATTTTGCAATTCTTCAGAAAGACAAGAATTACCTAAAAAGTCAGGTCTTCCTCCTGGACAGTATGATACAATCCAGGGAAAGATACTATATTATGAACATAGATCAACAGCAAAATTATTGTTCATTTATCCCATGATTTTATGAAGTGATAATATTGCAGGAAGAATAAAAGGGAGTACCAGGGCCTGGAAAATATGACATTAAAAGTCAATTTCAATTTCAGAAGACTGAAAGTGTGACAGATGTAAATGATGTATCCCTTGCTTTTCTCTCTCAATCTCAGCGATTTGTACTCATAAAATCAATCGCTCCAGCTTCTGGCACATATAATAAACCTCAAACTGCTCTAAAGTCCTCAAGCAAACATCACGACTGAAAAATTTCTCATTTGGCTAAAGTACTGTTTGATTCACAGAGGACTCCAAAATGGTGGAAATGCTAGGTCTTGGGTTTTATAATATCTTAAACTATACTATAATTGCCAA